CCCCAGACTCTCCTTCTCTTTCCTCGTCTCATTTCCATGCAGGAGTTGGGAACATCTTGACTGATTAATTGAATAAATCAGTAAACAAATTTATGTTCCAGGGGAGTTATGTTCCAGGAGAACTGCTGTGTTGTCCCACAGCCCCCCGTGTTGGGTTCCGTCTTGTTCGTTGCTGCTCACCTGTCAGCACTCAGCTCAGATGTCTCTCACAGAAGCTTTCAGAAAGTTCCCAGATAGATTAAGTTGTGAGTACTCTGTATCTCTGTGAGCAAGTAATTACAGCGTGTATTTAGTGCCTGCTTTTCCCCTAAAATAAAAGCCTCAGAAGGCCAGGGACCTTGGCTGTCTTGTTCACTGCTTTGTTTTCTGTACTTAACCCAGTTCGTTCCATGTGGTGCTTCCTCAGTTGTATCTTATGAATGAGTAAATCTCTGTTACCAGCTTGTGTCAGAAAGCTGTAAGGCCAGCCGAATTGGTCTGCAGGCCTTTCCACTTTACTGTGACCTGTAACCTGTTTACAGCCATTTGGGAAAGCAAGTTGGAGTTCTAAATTTTAAATACACACCTACCGTGTGACCCCCATCATTCTTTCCATGGAGACTTACCCTTGAGAAATGAATATATGCGTACACAAATACTTGTACTGACATTCATAGTAGCTTTTATTTGCAATAGCCAGTAATTAGCGGTCACAGAGCAAACCAGCATTAAAAACTGAATGGTTAACCAAATTGTGGTATATCCACCAACTGATTCCTGCTGAGTAGCAGATAGGAATGAGCTGTTGATACATGCAGGAGCATGGCTGTATTTAAAGAAAATTACACTGAGTGTTGAAACAGGGTGAAAAGGAACATATTTTATGATTCTGCTTCTATAAATGTCTAGAAAATGCAAATTAATATTTAGAGATAATAAGGCCTAGAAAAAGGTTGGGGTGGGTCAAGCTGTGAGAGATAGTAGAAAAGAATACAAAGGGGCCCACAGAGTTTTAAGGGGAAGTGCATATGTGCATTATTTTAATTGGGATGGTGGTAAAGGGTTGTCAAACCCTGTCAAATTATGTATTCTGAGTAGGTTCAGTTTATTATATGTCAACTGTATTTCCAGGAGTTCAGACAAAACTATATTTGTGTTCTTGCAATAGCGTAAAAATGAAATAGTTGACATTTAATGAAACATTTGCATTATATGTTCAGTGAAAACAACAGAACATTGTGGAGAGAAATTGAAGAACAACTTCATGAAAGGAAAGGCCACCGACTCACCATCCTGTGGGGTGGGGGGGTGCTTCCCGGGGTTATTCTTTCTTCATACTCCCAATTTCCCGTTTTGCTCTCTGAGCTCTCTAATACCTTTGCATTAGAAAATTTCATTTATTAAATTCAGTCTGTTTGGGCAACCAGCATGGATTCCGTGGGCTGGGAGAACAAAAGAAAGCAGGGAAAAGGTTGGGGCGCTCTCCAGCTCCTCCCCCTGCCCTCCCCATGCTAGGCCCCAGACCTTCAGGAGCCCTCATTGCCTGGCTGTGGCTGGCACCTGGGAATCAAGGTGCGTCTGGGTCTGGAGGCCTTAAGAGCCCAGAACAGCCGCCTGCTGCTGCTGGGCTGCAACGACTCACTGACAGCAAGAGCAGCCAGCAGCAAACTGCCCGTGCACGTGTTCCAGCCCCGCTCCGCTCCCTCTCCTCCAGCCCCAAGTGTCCGAATCCAGCAAGAAGCCGCCAAGCCGTGGCGAAACATTGCCGTCTCAGGCCCAGCCGAGTTTAGAAAGGGGAAGGTGGGCTGAGAGAAAGTAGCTGAGAAATGACCGGCTCCTCAGCATCCACGCACACCTTCTAGACACAGGGACACATGGGAAAAGGAGCAGGAGGTGCCTGCCTGACCTCTGCCTCCCCCAGCAGAGGCCCAGCTCACGCTCCCACGCTCTGCGCCCACCGCCCAGCGCTCCAGAGACCCGGCTCCAGAGCGCCCAGTGCTGTTGAGGCCTTCTTTCTGCTGTGTGGGGAGAAGTCGTATGTGCTATTCACGAGTTCATTTCCTCGGGGAGGCTGTAAAGTCACTGCCAGGGGGCCTGTCTGAGTCTGCGGGGTCTGCAGCGAGGGGCCCCCTTCTCCCTGGTACTGCTGTCTGTCTGACCCTCCGTCCTGTTAGAGGCTGGTCAGTGTCCTCATCTTTTCAGATGATCACCTTCTGATGTTGTGGATTTCTCTTGTTTTGTATCTCATTGATGCCTTTTTTCCTCAATTAGCTTCTTCCTCTACTGTCAGGAGTTTAAGTTGCTGGTGTTTTTCTAGTGTTGGGCCTGATAGCCTCGGCCACTGACCTCAGTATTTGTCTTGCTAATGGATGCATTTTAAGGCTGTGGGTGCAATCCTGATTTTTGATTTGTCATGTTTTTATTATCCTTAACTTTAAAATATTTTCCAATTTTCATTGAAATACCTTCTTGACCCATAGTTTAAAAGTATATTACTCACACAGGGGTGATCTGGTGATGGGAAACCCGCGGGGATTACAATCGAGATGGAAAAAAAAAATGTGCAAAATGATGTAAAAATAAACTTTGTAATAAAAAAAATTAAAAAAAACTATGATAAAAAAAGTATATTACTCAGTTTTGTCAGGATTAAAAGGACAGTTACCTTTTTCTTCTTTTCTGATTTGATTCTACCACCATCAGAAACAAAATC